GTATAATCATAAAGTCAGAATATATAGCTTTCGATAGTTTTATTAATCTTGTTGACAAATTGTCGTAAAATCTCGCAATATCCTCAAACTTTTACGAGGTAAAAACGGCACTGCGCGGCCGAAGTAATTGGATTTAAGATATATTATCGAGTCTCACGGTCATGTCACGATTTTCGATACACAGTTGTTAAAGGGAAGAGCCAGGACTCGTTCAAGGCGAGCCACATGCCACTGCAATTAACGGCCCGATATTTCATCGGGAAAACAAGGCGAAACAGCCAATATTATTGCATCATGGTCTTGACGTGGCAGCTGTAAGAATACATTAAATCTCGTCAAGTGGTGCAACAAGCGCGCGAACGCACGAACTGCTTTCCCGGATAACGGTGCGTCAATAAACGCCACATTGTACGAATTCTGCGAAACTGCGACGATAAATAATAAGAATATTACTCGTCTCGCGGTAATGGCGGTTAAACGGTTTTCTGCTGCGAAATTATTAGACAATATATCGTCGAGATGCGTCGTCGTGCTCCGTCAGCGCGTACACATCTCGTCTACGTTTACCTATCGTTGCACGATTGAATTGTAATTAATTATCTCGCTTTCCTTCCGGAAAAGCTCGTGGCACACGTCGCATAGCGCTCCCGACTTATTTAGCTATCTGAGAATAAATAATCGCGTTACTCTGCTCGCTGTTAATATGCGCCGTGGAAACAAAAAACAACGCGCAGAGCCGCAGAGAAAAATGCTAAATACCAGAGATTACCCAAGAGCATGCAACTATCTATTTACATTATTGCGTAATGCGAGCGCACAGAGGTAATTAACGGAATAATTAATCGGCGCGCAACAAGACGCCGCGTCGGCTCTTTAAACGCCGCAAATCCATCTCGGGGAATTAAACAGGCGGAAAAAAGTTGGCACCAGCCGACCAACTTCATTCGATATATCCCTCGCGTATAACGTTACGTCGCGTTAGGCCATATTCCGTTTCTGCCGTTTCATTGCAAAACTAGGCACGGTATATTCCGTTACGCGATATCGCATTGTGTCATTGTGTGAGACATATAGGTAATCCCTTAATGATCGTTCGCGAGAGAGACACGAGAGTACTCCCCGGTAAAACATCGAGAAACGGTTACTGAGTTTTGTCAAGTTAATGTTACGTTGAAAACTTGATCTCCAAAAATTTTAAATTAAATAAAAAGATGGGAAATATCGAGCAGGAAATATCGTGCTATAAAAATTATTTTCCAAGTTACGGTAAAATGCTTCGATTTTTATGTCCTTGTATGTAATATATACCGTCTATTACTTTGACATCTTAAAGTTGATCACACATATATATACATGTAAAAGGAAAATCAATGTCTGAATATACTTCTATTCCTGATTCCTGTGCGTAATCTGAAACGTCATCATCATCACATTTATCATCATTTCTCTTTTATTTTGTACGTCATAACGTTAGGGTTATACGTAACCTTTTTGTAATTAATTCTCGTTTAGATTTTTGTGGAAGCGACTATGAAACAAGTACTTGAAATTGAGGGAAGCGCGACGATACAAGAAGGTATTGCACGTTCTTGGTACCGAAAATCACATAATTATTATGAGCCATCAGAACAAATTACAAGAGAGTGAGTATTATACCAATAAGACGTTAATAAAATTATAGCTGGCCAAGCAAAGGACGTAAGATAGATTGAGCTGTCTTTATATATAATCGATATTTCTTCTTATTATACAGTTACAAAAAATTTTCTGATAAATGTACTATATTTGGCAAACCGCCAAAGAATCGAGGATCGGAATCTCGGATTAGAAGAATTTTGACGTGGATTAATCACGACCCGGTTACTTTAGTAAATCGTCGACAAGCAGATTTCATAGAGCGTACTAGATCGTTTGTCGGACAAGTCAAGTAATTACAGTTTTACCAGCGATTGTTAATCTAGCGATAGTTGTATATAGTTTATAAACCCATGAGAGATGACAAAAATCTCATCAATCTCTTACGTAACAAACCCCTTTCGTCATATAAATTATTATAACAAATTAGATAAATACAAATGTTTTCGAAAGTTTCGATAAAATATTTACAACTTTCACTATTTTTTCAAATTATTAATTATAAATATATTACACTATATTTACATTTATTATGGAAAATTTTTAAGATGCATAAATCAACGTGCTTTTGGCCTATAAAATAACGTACTTGATTAAAATGATGTACGGAATGTGTGGTCTGTTTTAATGTATACTTTCTTCGTGTAACAAATAAATAAGAATTTAATTAATTAATTAATATAAAAATCGCATATTGCCTTTTTTTAAAGATCAACTAAATTTGTGATTCAAGGGATCCAGAATTGTCGCGTTTCAATGCAGATATCGTACACGGTAGAAAGAATATCAAAGACGAATTAGGTGTATCAGACATTTTACGTGATTTTGATTTGAACGAGCAAGAGGTTTTCCGGTGGCAATGTTTACAAGATTTAAATGATTTTCGTCGAAAACTCAAAAAACGCATGCCGGAAGTGCCATTCTTGGACATGGAGGATGAGTTTTCTCGTCTGGACAAGGTATACATGCATATATATGTCCATTTACTAATATATCTAAATATACCATATGTATGTGTGTTAATAACTATTATTTTATGTATTTATTACAATAATGGAAATGCATATTAATTTATAAACTTGCACTCTTATAAATTGAAAAAAAATCGTTGATCAAATTAACCCGAAAGTACATATTAAAATCATATTTTTATAATTATGAAATTGTTATAAAATTTTAATACAGAATCATGTCGGGGTTCTACCTGAAGATGAGGTTTTCCTGATTTTTGACCGGCATCGCATATATCCAAACAAGAAATTTCTCGTACCGTTAATGGACAAATTGCAGTTGCGTGAAGATGGAAATGTTAATTACAGGGACGTGCTGAAGCTTTTGAATTGGAAGCACAGTTTACCCGTTCTACCAACGATAAAACGTGAATAAATTATGGATGATTTTTGTGTTTACTCTAAATTTTTCTTCAAATTGATCAATTAGAGAAATTACAAATGATAAGCCTTTGTGTGATAATTAATAATAATTTCAAATACATCTTAATTTTAATTTAATTTAAAAGATATTATTTTAGAATAAGCGTCAGTGGCGAGTCCAGATTGTACTACATCATATAATGACAGCATAAGAAATATTCAGACAACTGATAGCGCAAGTAGGGCTTTCTTTTTATAATTTATAATATCTGTAAATCTTGAAAATATTTCTTTCAAAATGAAGCAAGTATTTGGATACAAACTTGAAGAAATATTATAGAAGTACGTGTGGCAGGACTTCCATCCGAAAGATCGGATTTTCTGATTACAACGTTACCGCGCCCCGGCCTATATCCAGACAAGGAGAACTTGGGCGATCAAACCTCCGTTCATTGCTTAATATCGCCCAGCATATTCACAAGATACGGCTTGACACATATAGATTTTTTCAAGGTAGATCGCTTGATCTCGTATCGTCAAATTATTTCACATATTATTTTTGCTCTTAATTCGACATGAGTTATATCAAATTACAAAATTCGAACGTAGAACGAAGATTTCCTCACCCTGAAAATTCGCCAAAATTCCTAATTAGGAATATTAATTTTACATCATTTTAAATTATTATATTATTATATTATGTTGTTGTATACTAATTTATTATATTACTATATCATGAAAATATTAATTTGTATTATTTTGTAAATCTGTTGTACAGACTCGCGACAAGGAAGAAATACGAAGCATATTCGTGAACATTGGTTTCGAATTTCCAGAGGATAGTTTTGATACGCTTTGGCAGGAAGGACGGAGGAAGGATTGCTGCACCGACGGCGTGTGCGTGGAAACATTTCAAGAGTTACTCGCCACGTTGGGTCTCGTGGCAAAGAAAATTACATGTAGCTAGGATATAAACAAAATCTGTCTTGACGGCTCTATAGAGAAAAAGAAGCTCTATAAAAAAATATATAAATTGTGTATTTTAAGTTTAATAGTCACATAAACAATAACCATGCATGTTTTAGAACGTAATACGTATACAACCTTTATTCAACGATTATATTAAGTTATATAATAATAAAATCAAGTTTGTGTCAGATGTCTGATTCATGCGTTGAATATACAAACTATACAACATATTTACTTAATACATGTAAAATTAAACACATAATTATACAGTTATTTACCATGTAGATTTAGTCTGCTGGTTTCAAGAATTTTGGTTTCTTGTTCAATGGTTCATCTTCGTCATTTCTCTTTCTATGCTGTGGTTTTCTATGCCTGTTTACGGTGTCAAATTTCGCTCGCATTTTCTTCCACTGAACAGCCATTTGTTCATCAGATACGTCAGCTTCTCGTTTCACCTCTACTTTGGCTTGTTTGGCATTCTCCTTTTCTTCCATTAACTTCTCTATAACTGGATTCATCCCTTGAAAGCTTAATCTACCATCACCGAGTTTCTCACAGAAGACATAGCTCGCCTCCATAAGAAATTTTCCACTTGAACATAAAAATGATTGATAGCAGCAATACTCTGTCACCGGAATTAAATATTTGGGTCTTGTGCAATGGGTATTTCAATATGCAAAACATCCAAAAATTTATATTACATATTAATTTACATTATTATTGATTAAGATACAGGGTTGATACTTGGAGAAAATAACATAAAACACTTACGACGCTTTCTTCATGCGTGATGTAAGCTCGCTGCCAAAGTACTCTTCTCCTTCTTCCTGAAATTGTTCTTTCTCCACTTTGTCTTTTGTCCGTTTCATGAACTGCAACAACAAGCCCACGTATTATCGTGCAACAATGCTCTACTTTCTATGATCTTTCCAACTCACCTTCATCTGCAGTATACTCTTCGACAGAGCTATCCTCTTCGTATCCATGTTTATAACACTCGCGCATACGGATGTGAAAAATTAACGATAATATCTCTCGATAAATACCCCTCGAGAAATAGTCAAAATGCGAAAAACTGATAATTCTGCTGTACCAATAGTCAAAATTTTGAAGAATTTCTTCGAGAAATTGTACGCGCGTGTCAATAATACCAGACCACCGGCCACCCCTATAAACAAGACAATCTAACCTGACTAACCTCACTTTTCCATCACACTAGCTCCACGCTCCACTAGTTGCAGCACCCTTGAAGATTTCTGCATTACTATCATTTGTAGTAGCAGAGCAGCTTTGAAGAATTCCACGTTATCAACTTTATGCACACTTATTAAAATTTTGCTGTATCGAGTGTCGGCTCGCCATTTTCTTTGCCGAATGCCGGGTGAGCGTAGCGACCATATCGATCGCGCCCGACTTCTTTACCTTCTCGACCATCGACCATTTACTTTCCCGACCTGCCGCGTAACGGTTATTTTCATTAGTCGAGTGTCGAGTGTATTGGCGTGTCGTCGAGCTGGTCCTGACTCCTCGGCCTCGGCCTTCCCCGCACAACTCTCTCACTCTCTGGGCTCTCATGAGATCGCACAAGATGCGGAGCAGAGGTCCGCGACGACCAATTTGGCACACGAGGCGCAACGCATTGGAGAATGGTCAGTGACGTAGCCGCGAGGCCGAGGAAGCGAGGAACGGATCATCGTGGAACGGTGGACATAGCGGCGTCAGCGGAAATAGTTTGATCGCTCGTACCAAGGTAAATCCGCGCCCGCACGCGAGCACACGCTCGCGAACGCGCGAGCGCGCGCGCGCGCGCGCGTGTGTGTGTGAGTGCGAAATCAATAACAACGGCATTATACATTATTTCAAGGGTATTATTCCAGCTCTCTAAAAAGTCTCATTAACGTCTACGAAGCCCCACGCTTGGTCCAGTGCGATCTCGTTCCAGTTACGTTCTTTATCGTTCACTCGCACTGGCCACGTCTGGTAGGCACAAAAAAAAGAGCTGAAGAAACTGGACGACATTTTAGGATTCGTCGAATAACGTATTATGAGATTATTCAGAAGATTTCTCGTTTTTATATGCTTGTTTTCACATTTTCGAACGTGCTGATCACGTTGGTCATTAATGTTTTCAATACTGACGACTCATAGGCAATGTTTATGTAGACTTTCTCTTCGATACAAATCATAACCTCCTGAAAGTTCTTTTATCTTTTTTTTCCCTAAAGTTAAGACCTATTGTTGTATCATACTTATATCAAGAGAATTTGCGAGGTATAAGATGGGTAATACGAGTAATTTTTTTCTTTTTTTTTTCCAATTTTAATATGACGTGTATAGTTGGAACTAGCTTCACGCAAAACCGGTAGTTTACCTAAATTTTTAGAGAGTACATACATAGTATTCTGTGCACCAGGAGACATTAAACTTTACAAATAAAAAGCGAATCTTCTCAATATTTCAAACAACGTACTTCGTATACTTATTATTTATGCCTGGCAGATATATCACTGCGTGCAAAGATGTCGAAACGACCCGCAGACAGTGGGGACTCCGGTTCCCAACCGCCTATAAAGAAGGTACAATTTGAACCGATTCTAATTGGACCAATATCTACTCTTGAGGAAATGGACATGAAGGTTTTGCAGTTCCAGAACAAGAAGCTGGCACAGGTATAAAAAAATTTATATTACCCTTCTATGCTTAATAAATTGATTTCTAACTGCAAATGAAGATAATGGGGATTGAGATGTATATAATTATATGTATATATAAAGAAAGTAGTTGTATATCTTAATATAATAGATAAATATACTAATTATACGTGCGTAAAAAATATAATTATACATATAATTATACAGAATAATGGTTGAAAAAAAAGGTTGAAACTAACGTGTTATTTTTTAATGGGAATGAACGGAATAAAATAGATTAAACATTACAAGCTTTGCAGAATGGTGTTTAATTAATTTTATTTTGTCTAATAAAATAATTTAGTTTCAGCAACTTCTCACGTGTGTCGCTCTCGTATATGCATATTTGTGTTGACTAAAATTTTCAAGTATATATGCAATATAATATAAATTATACTTTTATATAAAAATTATTTTTTACAATATTGTACAATTTTTAGTTTTTATACATCTTTTTTCACGTATAATTTTTTTTTTTTTTTTTATTCCAGAGATTAGAACAAAGGCATAGAATGGAAGCTGAATTAAGACAACGTATCGAACAATTAGAGAAACGTCAAATGCAGGACGATGCAGTACTTAATGTTGTTAATCGATATTGGAATCAACTCAATGAAGATATACGTGTACTATTGCAGAGATTCGATGCTGAAACTGCTGATGAATCAGAAAATAAAAGTATGCTTTGGAAAGAAAAATATTATGTAACATTTTCTACGACAACGTCTCACAACAAAACATTTTCTTTTTAATTACAGACGAGAGCGAGGCTACAACGTCGTTTCTTATGCAATTATCTTCCTGGGACAAAGAAGAGTTGGATGACAAATTGGCAAACCGTGTACAGGTGTCGAAACGAGCTGTGTCTAAAGTTGTACAGGCGTTTGATCGTTTATCTCAAAGAAACGAAAAGATCACTCTTGCGCTTAAAGGAGAATTTAACGGTGGTAAGTTGTGCTGCATCTAGAATTCCTTTAAGGTTTCAACTTGACGCAACACGTTGAACAACGTGACACGTATATCTTTACATTTACGCCGTAAGACTCGAAATTTTTCCACGAAATCTCGGACAAAACTTGACATGTTACACAACTATATTGCGAAAAGTCGTACTCTAACATCTAAGGATACAATTAATGCACGTGTGAATTAATATACAGAAGAAGCACCAAATATGGACGAAGTCGTACGTCGTGCCAATGCGGAAATACAAATGGAAAACAGAAATCTGCAGGCGATAAATATACAATTGCACGAAAAGTACCACACTATCTCATTAAAGGTACGTGATTTCTGTATCATTTATATTTAATTTTCCATTTTTTGTTTATTATCGATTATGTACAACTGACACCAGTTATGGTTTATCACGACGTACAAGTCGGTCTAAAGAGTCGGAAATAAAGAAAAAGATATTCCTTCTTATAAACGAGTATTTCTTTATCAAGTAATTAGACATAAAAGATCCCGGCCTGATTTTACGGAAATGTCAATATTTATTCTGGCTATCTATTTTCATAGATGTCAGAACTGCAAGATACAATAACGGGAAAAGATACGCTTGCGGCAGAATTGCGAAATCAAGTCGACGATCTGCAGTACGAATTGAACAAAGTACGGGCGAGAAACGATAAGTTGGAACATCACCTTGGAGAAGCGATTGAAAAGTTGAAAGCTTTTCAGCAGATTCACGGCACGGATGAGAAAGGCAGTAATAAACCGAATACTTTAGTTGCATCCAGTGTTTCTCAAACCAAGGTAAACGTTCGTTTTCTTATATTTATATAAAGCTACAAGTATACACTCTCAGAAAAGAATTCTAGATACAATACTATTAGGATCGAAATAGGGCCAATCATATTTTAATCTTAAATAGAAGAATTCTTAAATTCTATCTAGACTTCTAGATAGTATATTGTTTATCTTAAATAGAGGAATTCTTAAATCTAGAATAAAATAATCTTGATGCTATCCCTCTAATTTTCTCAGAATTATTCTAGATTCAAGAATTCCTCTATTTAAGATTAAAATATTCTTCTTTTAATACTAAATATGATTGGCCCTATTTCGATCCTAATAGTATTATATCTAGAATTTTTTTCTGAGAATGTACGCTCTAGTTTAATATTACAATATTATTCTATACGTTATAATATATCTAGATGCATGTTCGTTTACAGCTGGACGACTTACAAAGAGAACTTGAAGAGACACGCGAATTGGCTAACAATAGACTGCAGGAATTGGACAAACTGCATCAGCAACACCGCGACACCTTAAAAGAAGTGGAAAAATTGAAAATGGATGTGAGTAGTCACATTTTCTAAATTTTATTTATATTATATAAATATTGTGACATTTTTAATTTATAATTTACTTTGTTACCGAATGGGCTGAATAAGAGTATTTCTTGCTGCAGATAAGACAGCTTCCCGAATCGGTAATCGTAGAAACGACAGAGTACAAATGTTTGCAATCGCAATTTTCCGTGCTATATAACGAGTCTATGCAATTAAAAACACAATTGGATGACGCTCGCCAACAATTGCAGTCGAGCAAGAATGCACATCTACGCCACATTGAGATGATGGAGGTAAGACCTTCATATATTCAGAGACTATATTCACGAATATATGTGTAACGTGTTTTATTTTTATCAATATTCTTTTCATAATATTCTTTTCATAGAGCGAAGAGTTAATGGCTCAAAAGAAATTGCGCGGGGAGTGTATACAACTCGAAGATGTTTTAGCACAATTACGCAAGGAGTACGAAATGCTTCGCATTGAATTTGAACAGAATCTAGCTGCCAATGAACAGACAGGTCCAATTAATCGAGAAATGCGGCATCTGATTACCTCTCTTCAGAATCACAATCAGCAATTGAAAGGAGAAGTGCACCGATACAAGCGAAAGTACAAAGAAACTTCTATTGAAATACCTCGAGTATGTACACGTAAACACATATCGTAAATTAAAAGTAATTGTCTTATTTTTTATTTTATTATAAACGTTAACCATTTTCTGTGCATGGTATCTGACTTTGATTTAAATAATATCTATGTATCGATTTATTATTATATACGAAATGGGTCACACGTCACTTCATATTCCTTTGTTATATTTACTTTATTATTAATGCCTATTAATGCCTTGAACTTTCAATTTTTCAACGAACCTTTTATTATAAAATGAGTTTAATGTGTGGGGCAACAGGTCAGGGTTGAACACCGGACTTGTTGATTACACAAGTCAACTACTCTTACGCAGAGAGCTACGTGTTACCCCAATAATAGAACAAAATTTTACATATATATTACGTATAAATTGTCATCCGATATATTATTTAACCGCTATAAAAATAGATAAAATGGTTTTATTTTTATCAAATTTTCCCAGCTAAAAAAGGAAGTAGAGGAATTGACAACCAAGTTGGGCCAACAAACGGCGCAAGAAAATAAAGAAGGGAATACGTCAGACGGCAGCGGAAAAGAAGAAGATGCCTCAAATTCGTTGCCAGGTTCTACACAGGTATGTAATGATAATACGACGATAAACTTTTATCAAAAGATGACACGTTTTCCTATGCGATTATATTAATTTTTCACGTATTTTGTTTGTGTACATGTATGTAGTACCAAAAAAATAGAATTTTTTGTACAACGCATTACATTTTTAATATATGGAACTCGTGCTCACGTATTAAAATGAGATTTTGTTGGCTACTTGATATTTTTGTGTTACGTGTTGGTTTTGGTACATAGATAAAAGAAGAAAGTGGTGTTACGATAAAGAGGGAGTCTGGTGCTGACGAAGAGGTAGAAACTATTGAGGTTGGAGAAGGTGAAGGCAACAAAAACACGCCAGATTCTCTAACGTTAACGTCGCCGACTTTAAAGAAGGAGAAGGATATAAAACGTGAGAAGGATATCAAGAAAGAATCTGTGAAAACTGAACATCGGGATCCTGCACATCGCACTAAAGATGCAAAGATGGCGGAATCGGAGCTCGTGAGGGACTTGAAGGCACAGCTCAAGTATGTCCGCACAAAGATATCCAGTGTTTTCAAATAAAATACTGATATTGTTATTGCGACGCGGTATCTTAGTTTTAGAAAATAAACGAGAGAATAAATATCTGATTGCAGAAAAGCTGTGAATGAGATGAAAGAAATGAAACTTTTATTAGATATGTACAAAGGTGTTGGAAAAGAGCAACGGGACAAAGTACAGTTAATGGCTGCGGAGCGTAAAACGAGAGCCGAGTTGGAGGATTTGCGACAGCAGGTCAAAAAAATTCAAGTATGTTGTGTAATATATTTTTTATAATCACTACACGTAATATGTGATTTTTATTATGTATACGTTTATTTTATATATAGCGCGATAATATGAATCAATGAATCAAGTAAAACGATCGGTACGTCGATCAGTTCGTGTGCAGTTTGGTTGAGGAAAATACGTTATTCAAGTGAAATATTTTACTGTTTAACATCACGAGTATATTGATATCGTAATATTGTGTGAATATTTGCACTTTACGTGACGAGAATTATTTTTATTTGGATAATATAACAAAGTGACGTGTGCATTGTGTCATTGCAGGAAAGTAAACGCGAGGAACGTAAAAAATTAGCTGACGAAGATGCGCAGATAAAGATAAAAAAATTGGAAGAACAAGCGTATACATTGCAACGTCAAGTTGCATGTCAAAAACAGGTAGATCACATTTATTCTTTCTTTTGAAAGCGAACGTTGATGCGCTGCGTATAAAAAGATTAGAAAATTAATTAATTAAAGATAAAATCACGTGTAAGAGATCCAAGTCAAGAATTATTTTGTTATTTATGTCCGTAATAATTTATAATGTTAAAAGCTTTTTAATATTAAAAAATAGTCGACAGAATCGTACGCGAACGGAAATGTAACGTTGAACAGACGTGTATCTGGCTGCAGGAGGAAGAGGCGCTTCTGAACGAGATGGAAGTGACCGGGCAAGCATTTGAGGACATGCAAGAGCAGAACTCTAGACTCATACAGCAGCTGCGTGAAAAAGATGACGCGAATTTCAAACTCATGACAGAGAGGATCAAAAGTAATCAATTGCACAAGCTCGCGAGGGAAGAGAAGGACGTGCTGAAGGAGCAAGTATTAACACTAACAACGCAGGTGGAAGCGGCCAATGTAGTTGTACGAAAGTTGGAAGAGAAGGAGCGTCTCTTACAAAACTCTCTCGCCACGGTGGAAAAGGAATTGGCGCTGAGACAGCAGGCAATGGAAATGCACAAGCGGAAAGCGATAGAGAGCGCACAGTCTGCGGCTGATCTGAAACTTCACCTTGGTAAGTGCTCAACGTGCAAACGTGAAAAAGCTAAAATAAAAATGCTTACGTATGTAAATCTTTAATCATAAATGCTCTTATAAATCATATACGTTCATGTACATTTTTTCTTAATCATATAAATAATACACTCTAAGCGTTTACGATGCTTTTACAATATTCTTATTGTTACATTATCAGCTGGAAAAATAAACGAAAATAAATGATAAAAACTACACAGTCACTTCCTGACAAAAAACTGACGTACAGCTTTTACCGTTACAGAAAAGTATCATTCCCAAATGAAGGAAGCGCAACAAGTCGTAGCTGAGAAAACAAGTTCCTTGGAAGCTGAAGCATATAAAACTAAAAGATTACAGGTATAACAATTTACGTCTGCAGCTGCACCAACTATGTGATATTTCTCGTGTGTTTTGAACTTGTTATATACCAGTTTTGAATACCATTAATAATACAATTATTGATACAAGTAAAATTTAATACATGACGTGCATTGTAGGAGGAGATTGCGCAACTCAGACGCAAGGTTGAGCGTATGAAGAAGATTGAGCTCGCTGAAACTCTAGATGAAGTAATGGCGGAAGAGTTGCGGGAGTACAAGGAAACTTTAACGTGTCCGTCTTGTAAGGTAAAGCGTAAGGACGCCGTCCTCACCAAGTGCTTCCACGTGTTCTGCTGGGACTGTCTGCGTACACGTTACGAAACACGGCAACGGAAATGTCCCAAGTGTAACTGCGCTTTCGGCGCCAACGACTACCATCGGCTGTACCTGTCCACATGAAGAAGAAGGTGCTGACTCTGGAAAATACGCCGCGACGTAGAGTAATGTTTTGTAATATGTTACGTAAGCATTTTTTCTCTTTCTTTTTTTATATCGTTTATTTATTACTCTGACTTTTTGTGGAATTATGCGCGATATGTGACTCCCTGTGCGCTGAGTGTGTCGATAATGAATCACGAATTTTGCCAAGTTCTTATCAAGACCATAGCACACATGAAGAACATAAGTCACAGAATAAAAGTAGAATCACAGTCGAAAATTCTAGAGACTGAATGATTTATCACTTAATTCTACTACTTGTGTTTTTTTCATGCATTATGGTCTAGTTTATAAACCAACATATAAGAATAAATAAATAGGTAAAGTGAATGATAAATGAGTGAATGAATTAGTGAGTGAGCGAGCGAAAGAGTGAGCGAATGAGCGAATAAATATGAAAAAGAAAGAAAGAAAAGAGAGAGAGAGAGAGAGAGAGAAGCGAAAAGAGAATGCACAGCTGAATTGCATTTTTAGTTAGTCAGTACAGTTATACCGGGCTACAAACTTTTAATTTTATTTACAATATAAAAAACCATTTATTTAATTTTCTTTCATCTCGTTTGTAAGCTCACACGAAATTATCGTTAACATTTATATATAGCACGATGGATTGCCTAGATCAATGCCTTCTTAAAGCCAAGATACTGTCCCCCGAGCGACGACACGTTTCTATTTAAAATGTCTTTTATAAGATAAAGTAGAGATCAGTTTGTAAAGTCAAACAAAGCATTGATAACCATTAATCTAGTAAAAAAATTTTGTAACTACGTTAAATCACAATAACATTTAATAGTTTAAACTGTACCAACTAAAATTGATTGATTAACTGACACATTATTCAAATTCAATTACTGTTTGAAATTCATGTAACTGTAAACCTGTTGAATGTGACTAAAGTTTAGCTGCAAGACTCGTGTTCTGTATGTTAGGCCTGGTTAAATCAAAGTTGAAAAGTCTCGAAGGAGTAATCTAATGACTCCTCACTCTTAAAAGTGAAATAAATTCATTATTGAGTTAAGGTTCAGAATTAATAATACGTAGCAATTTGTATGATAATCACGCTTATAGTTATTTATTTAATCAAAAGGATATAATTTAGCAAACACCCTCCAAATTCGCTTTGTCTATTGTTTATAATACGAGACAGGCAAACTGGTTAATAACAGGGATGTCCTGTACGATAATTACTCGACATTATCCAATAAGAAACGAATTTCTTTGCTGATCGTAAACATGTTCGTGATGATTTTCATCGAAATTGCTTTTGGAATTAATGCATTAAAATCAGAAAAATGATATATTTTATTATATATTTCTGAGATGTCTCGGTATCTTAAAAGTATGAATTTTATTTAAGAACTGTAAGAACTATATTTTTAAAAATAAAAAAAGGAATATATATATATATATATATATATGTATGTATAATTATATGAAATGTTTATCAAATCAATATATAAATATTGATTTGATTGTGAAGCGTCAATATTAGCAAATGTTATTTTTAACACTGAACTGTATACATTACTAAATTTAAATAATTTATTCCATTCAAGGCTAGTTGTTGCAACCTGTTGGTAAATTAACTAATAGTTAAATCATATGTCTATCTTTGTCTAATTTGAAGGAGAAACAAAGCATATATATGATTTAACTATTAGTTTATCAACCGGTTGGAACAACTGGCCCTTAGATCATTTAAATTTAAGTTCAAATTAGCGCTCACTAAATCGTTAAATATTTGATACTATTATACCAACATTGTATTATAGTATAAATAATTTTTGATCATGTATCATCGCATGTGTGAATGCTACGTATTAATGTGAGCATCCATGTATATGCGTTTGTAAAAAAATGAGATGCAATAACTTATTTTGACAAAAAGATGCATCAGTGCGTAAGAGCTCCGTTTCAATAGAATAATTTGTTTTATAGATCTTTATTTTACTTAATCATACAGAACTATTTTTTCTTTTTTGATAAATTTCGACGATGTTATGTAATAATTCGGAGAAATCTGTCCTTTTTAATTTTCCTTTTTTTTAGGTAGGGAAGTTTATTTAACCCGAGCTCGCGCCACTCCGGTCCAGTAGAGCGCTAAACGCTTTTTGATTTTCTAGTTTTCTCGTAACAAATTCAGGATAAATTTAAATCATTTTCTAAGCTTAAAAATATTAATTAGAATGAAAATGACAATGCGACAAAGTCGCACGATCTCACGGACCGGCGGAGTGGGTCGAAAATAGGTGCAGCTAGCTAGGATTAAATATGTAACAATATAGATGTATGATGTAAATACGTTAATGAAAAATTTGACCTTGCTAAAAATAAATTCTTATTTCTTTGTATTATCTATTCGAGAAAAACACTTTCCAAATCTTAAAATAAAAATATTTCCATATTAGATTTATTCCAATTCTAAATGCAAAACTTGAAAATAAAAATGTTTTTTCGCTTAATATTTGTTAATTATTTTACAATATGTATATGGAGGATAAAACTTGACAAAAGGCGTTCTATAAATAATTTCTTATACTTTGAGACATTATTTTGCATTCTTGACGCATTTTTTACATTTGTCTAGTTTTGCTCTTTTTTAATTTTTTTCGAAGATAAACTGAATCGAAAACCGTATCGAAAAATTACACTTATTTCAATTTTCGTTTTCTTTACGTTATGTAATAATATATAATTAATTCTAATAGCTTTGTATTATAATCGATGTACACTGCAAAAAGAAAAACACTAGATAAAATTACATGAACAAATGTAAAATTTTATTACGATTTAAATAATGGTATACGTGTAATATACATTTTCTTGTTGTTCATGTCATTTTACATACCTTTTTTACAGTGTACGTAAAACATAAATAAAATCGAAAATCGATTTGCATTACGTGATGTACGCGGTAAAAAAATTTTTTGCCACTATTTTGAAACGACTTGAGTCTAGTGTTCTGGTTTTTAATTTTACGTAATTGAGAAACCGGATTTTAACCTCTTATTTTTGAACTACTTTTTAAAGACTTGTTTATGTAGAACATAAATCTATGGGAAATTTAAACTTTACGAAGGTTTGCAGCATTTAAGAAATAGCTCCATTCTTTTTCGTAATAGAATTACAAAATTAATTTTTCATTTTTTTCCGGTATATATAGAAGATGTAATATTTTAGGCATAATTTATATATTTAATCGTTTATATAAAAAATATATTTTAAGAAATTTAGTAAATGTAATTTATAATATTTATATTACATTTATTATAAATTAAAAATTAGGATAATTTAAATTTCATATTCAACAATTTATTATCAAGTGATTAATAAATTATTAAATTATTTAATAAATAAAGACTAAAAATAAAATAAAATCTTTATTTTCTTTGATAACGTGCTTGAACGTAGTTCAAAAGTAAGTAATTCTTCAGAACAAAAATGTGTATAAAATCATACATAATATAAGAGCAGCATATATATGTCTGTGGAATCGTTGCATATTATTACAGTAGTCTTCTCTGAACAACATAAATTGAATGGAAATATATACAAGTTTTGTTGAGTGCTAATAGCGTGTAAACACCTTTCTATTATATGATGATTGAATAAAAAAAGGCAGTAAAAATAAATCACATTTAAATGAACGTCCATTATTTTTTCTATTATAAGCTTCTATATTATTCCATTTGTTCCAATGTTCACTTTTTTCTTATGCGTAATGAATGAGAAACACTTGTAAATATTTACACGCAACCCTTTAATTTTTTATCGGAGAATGAAAACTAGAATAGATGGGACGCGGAAAGTCAAATACGTCAGCTCAAATGACGTTGTCGTACAACGTTCTTTCCGATTTTATTCCATCTTGCAATATATTTTGAAAATCCTAAGAAATATTTGGTTCTATATACGAAAAGAGAACCTAGTTTAATCTAAACTGTTTTTTTTTTTTTCTTTTATAAAGTTTATTTTTTCGACGTTTATTATATGCATGTATCGAGTAAAACTTGATCGAAATATTCAACTAGAATAGAAATACGTATATCGAGAGCAGTTCTTGTAAGGAAACGGTTGATTTAAAAAATAAAAAATTAACAAGAATGTAATGTGTAGAGTTGCAACATCAGTCATTGATTTGAAAACGATAAAATCCTTTTCTGTCCTTTCTTCAACTGTTCTATGAACGAATTTATAAATAACTGGTTAATAAGGATTAAATGTTGTAGTAAATTTTGTTGTATTACACACATTTAATTTGTTCGCTGTGCGTACAGCAGAAAAAGAATTAAAAAAGACTATATCGAATCCATTTGTTTATAAAGAATGCGAAATGACATTAGTAAATAGCGCAGAGCTCTCTGGTAAATAGTATAGTATAATAATAATATAAATAAACGCGTAGCAGAGGAAATCCAAACACGTTAACAAAAGTTGTAAAGATCAAGACGTCGATTTTACAGGTAAATTTCGATGGCCGTGGATGGACATTTCTGCAGCGGAAGAAGAATATTATTCGTCATCTAAAACTGAAGAGAGATATACGTATAGTAAGGTCCATAAGTTTCTGGCCCGGGGGTAGAAGGAAGGAAGGTAAAAAGGAAAAAAACGGTATTTACCGTTTTTCGATATATAATCTCCCACAAGTTCAATACATTTCTTACACATCTCCTTGGCGGCATCTCTATACCTTTAAAAAAATAAGTAGTTTTCTTCTTTGGTGGTAAAATGGGCATCAACGGCTGCTTGGATCTCTTTATCGGTCTCAAACTGATCCTCCCCCGCAAGTCAGATTTCAAGTTTGCGAACAAGTAGTACAAGTCGGTGGGGGCCAAGTCTGGGCTGTAAGGTGGGTGAGAGATTTCTTTGAACCCGCCGTCCTCCACGGCAGCTTTGGCAATAACGGCTGTGCGCACGGGCACGTTGTCGTGGAATAGCCCAACACCTCGAGCCAGTTTTTCCCGTCGTTTCGTTTCTCCTTGATGGCGTCTCGCAAACGGTGCAGTAGAACCGCGTAGTACTCTACGTTCACAGTGGTGTTCCCTTCGTTGTAGTCACGAAGCAAACGTCCTCGGAAATCCCAAAAGATGGTAGCCATAATTTTTTTTGACTGAATGACCCTAAAAGCCTTTCGAGGGGACACATTCATCGGTTTTCTCCATTCTATTGACTCCCTTTTGGACAGGATCGAGGTCATGGTACAGGATCATAGTTTTATCTCCAGTGACACGTGATTCCAAAAATTGTTCTGGCTGGAGGTCGTATTCGTTTACGAGAACTCTCGGCAACAATTTACGCGCTCGTTTCTTTGGGCAACAGAAAGAAGTCGCGGAACCCATTTTGCACTAATCTTACTCTAGTGTAAATATTGTTTAATGATCGTGCGCTAACGGTTGTTTTAGAGAGTTCTAGTCTTGCCGCGCGTTCTTCAGTCTTCAAACGTAGGTCACTGATCACGTCAGCCTCCACAAGATCACGGCGGTTACCGGAGTGGCATGGCGACTCTCACAGGCCGACCGGGGCGAGAATCGTCTTCCAGAGTTTCTCGTCTCACGTTGAATACGTTAACCCATTCTTTCACAGTTGAATACGATGGGGAAGAGTCCTCGTACACCCTATCCAAACGCTTTTTACGTTTCATCGGTAAAAGACCTTTGCTCAAGAATTTAATTACCGCACGACCATAAGAGCAGATGTCTGGTCACGTGACGGGCCGCAGGGTCAGGTGGTCAGGTCCTCAGATTCGATCAGATTCGATTCCAACCACCCCCCGAAGTTCATGGTCAGGCTGGAAACTTTGGACCTTATTACTTATACGTATATGCTACATTTACTTTTTTAAAATTATTCTCAAAGTTATAGCGGTTTAAAAACTGTTTGGAGACTAAAAAGTAGAGCTAAGAAACTGAACTATATATCGATTTGAGAACTCTTTATTGTTATTTTTACACGGTGGGGAGGTTAGGTTCAGTAAACGTTGCGATCCGCAACATTGGCACGGAATTTATATTTCCTAGTATTGATACGTCATATTCGACATTGACGCATTATACGTATACCGTCACGTAATATATTCATCGCAATATATTGGAAACGACGTTTGTTCTACCAATAAAGATGCTCGGTTTCCACGCTTTAACAAATCTACCATCGAATTCTGTTTACTAGATTCTATGATATTTCCGCTGGCATTCTGCCGACAAAATTTGTGTCAGACACCCTTTGGAAAATTTGTTTCCGATAGATTTGGCAAAAGTATCTGCCAAAGACATATTTGCCAAATCGCGAGAGAGATATTTGTAATAATATTCTTCGCGCCACGCGACGCGCATGCCGCATGAGTGTAGGGCTGGTGTGGTGGCTGGTGGTGCAGGGTGCAGGGGTTGCTGGTTGCTGCGGCGAGGGACGAGGGCGAAAGCACGCGTACGCGACGAGCGACGAGCGACGAGTGCCTCGTCGGGGAGGATAAAGTGCGTGCCGTACAAAGTCAAAAGTGGCAGTAGTGGCGTAGTGGCACATTCGACGTCTGACAATAGACGTCTGGTACTTGGTAGGATTATGGTGCGACCGGCGAGGGGTCGAATACTCGATACACCATTCGTGGCGGCTACTCTGACGCTGCTCATGATGCTGCTGCTCGATCAAGTAAGAACGGAGAGATACGCCGTACATCCTAACTACGTCAGTTTGCGTTATCGCTTCATCCCGCTGAGGAAACGCGTACGCGCGTGTTACACGAGAAAGAGAAAGAGAGCGAGAGAGAGAGAGAGAGAGAGAGATATACGTTTATTGTCGTTGGATACGCGTTTTATCCGCACCCTCTCGTCCGTTCGGCTCCTTCGCCGCGCTTCCGATCAATACACCCCCGTGCCCCGTCGTCGTGTTTGCCATTCGTGCGTAAATCTCTTCCATAACGGTCGGTTTTTTGCACGCGATTTTATTATAAATAGAACAGTTTTTTAATTTTAATAAATATTGTAATAAATAAAGTAACTAACTTCTATTAATAAACAGTTACCTCTTGAGTACGTTATATGTAAACATGCGCGTTCTGTAAACCAAAACTTTCAATCAAGACGATATATATATTGCTGTCAAATGTCAGTACAACGTGCAAATTTAAGGGAGATGGTGCACTTAAAAGTGACTGAAATACTACATTCTTTTTCATTTTTCTTTAACATTGTTTTCTTGCATATTTTCAATCATATAAAATGATTTTTTAATACACCTAAATCTCTAAAAAAAGAAACTGAATAGTCTTTCGGATGATAGAAGAAGCGTCACATTTGTATAGCTTTGATTTAGAAACAGACAAAGAAAAGATTCGAGCAGAGAAAGGAAGAAAAAAGAGAAAAAAAAAACTTGATTTAATCGTGTACTTTGGATTATTAATCTGTAATCGATTCGTTATTTATTATTTAAAAAATGATGATTAAACACATGTATAATTATAATTATATATCTCGTATTGTTTTTTAAGGTGTCTTCTCTACTGTGCCCTGGAGGGCATGCGTAAGTATCTTGTTTTATACACCATGTTTTATACGTGAATACAAACGTGAAAAGTGTGGCAGCAAACTATAAATAAAGAGATGCAAATCTGTTGCTTTTTAGCTGCTCTCCTCCAAAATCATGCTGTCTCTATGGCTGTTGTTACGATGGCTTTACACCAGCAGCGCATCCAGAAATATTAGATTTCGTGATTTTGTCTACTTGGTATCTATGGTTGGTATATTTTTTCAATCGTTTATGTTATTGAACGACATATAGAGGAGTAAAAAGGAATAAGGTTTTTGTCTTTTTACTCATTACGACTTTTAAATTAAGACATCACTTTTGTAGCATGTACCAGCAGTTTGTTTTAATAAACAAATAAACTTATTTATATATATACACACGTACTGTTTGCCGAACATACGTTTATTTTACACATACTAATCTTGCGTACTGGTTGTCATAGTTATCATAGTAGTATTATGTGGATCTCGAGTAACAGTCAAGTATTTTATTTACAGGGTAGCGATACTCGCGGTCTTGGTTTTAGCCGCAACGTGCGGCTTTTGGCTATGGAAACGTCGCCGTTCGGCCGTGTCAGAAGACACGTCCTCGGAAAGAACTTCCACAGGACCGTGGTATCCACCTCCTCATTATAGCCGATGTAGTTCCTTTGTTCAGGCATTACCACCACCATACAACGAGGTATTTGAAAAACTAGTATTACGTTAACAAAGACGTTCCTAGTAAAAAATGTTTTATACATACAAAATGTTTATATATGTTTTTTTCTTGTATAATCTCTGTCCGTTATATTATAGAAAAAATAATAAGAAGAATAATTAAAAAATAATTAGAGAAAAATAACTTGCATTTTTTTTATAAAAAGTAAAATGGCGCGTAGATTACACAATATTCTATAAATACGTGTAAAACTTCTGGAGGTCATAAACACGTAATGGACGGAGACCGAAGGTTTGTTCGCGTCGCATACTCCAATATACACCAGAGACACTTGGATCACGGATAAAGGGTGGCGCGTGGAGCAGATGAGTTTTTGGAATGCGTTGGAGTGAGTAGGAGCATGGTGGGGCGTGCGACGCGAACTGTCCCCGAGACAGACAAAACGGAGTAAATCACACAAGTCTATAATTTATACTAATACGGATACTATACTTTATTTCACATCTACCCATCATTGCATGAACGCGTTTCGCATACATACATACATATGTTACTGAGAAGGGAGAGAGAGAGAGAGAGAGAGAGAGAGGGAGAGGGAGAGGGAGATAGTTGGAGCGCTCACGCCGTCCTTCGCGCAACATCGTCCATCGCCAGCAACCGTCCTAACAAGCAGAGGTCCGGGATACTCTCGAATCGGCCAAGTAGCCACGTAGGGCTGGATCCTGCTGATCGTTGGCCACAACAGAACCAACGATCCTCCTGAGCTACAAAGCCCCGAGATCGCCGACAACTATTGCTGGCCCGCTTTGTCCCTCTGTAGAAGCGGGCTACGGGTCCACGAGTATATAACTTGGATCCTTGGAAACGAATCCTCTGTGGATCTCTAGTAATACGGCAGCACGGATAGAGAACCTCTGGAGGCCGGGTCGATCTATACTTTCCGGGAACCCTCTCTTACAATTTTGATCTTTAATTCTTCTCCGCTCATCTCGTACACTCTCCTCCCTTCTCATTCCTCTCAATCTCGTTACATAATTGTGTATAATTACATTTGATATATGATTATTACTTTTATATAATATGTGGACAAATTTTTTTCATTTCCTCAAACTTTACTTTTTTTTTTTTATATATAAAAGCAATGCAAGGAAATTATTTTTTTGTATATTCCAACAGCGATTATACGAGAGAAAAAAATATATAAGCATATTTTATAAAAAATTATGTATAGTACCGAGTTTTTGATGATTGATTAATTTAATCAATATCCTAAGATCGTTGAAGAAAATAATTAATCACACGTTACACAGTTTCCCTCCTACATCATATACGAGTTTATACGTAAATGTTGTATTAAAATTCACGTAACACGTAAAAACTATTAAAGCTTTATTATCACGTTTGTTCTCTGAAGCTTTATCTGCAAATAACTCTTCCGTTTCACGTGCTTATAATTTAAATACTATTCGAATCTCGGTATTTTTATTAACGTAAAATTCACTCTAAATTAAAAAGAGATGTAGAATGTTGTTAAAAAGATCTAAAAATATTACTAATATAGCAATATAATTTATTTACGGTGATATAAATATTATGTGTGTTTTTCTTATATACTAATACATATAACGTCGAAATCTTTACTTTTATCATACACGTTATGCTTAGGTGACTGCAAAACCAGACCTTTATCCTTTAGTAATTGGTTACGACGATAGTTCAGGCAAAGGTACTTCTGGTTTTGTGATGCGCTACTTCAGATCGTTGTCACACGCAAGTACATTGGATTCATTGAGCTCCAGTTTCATGTGCAATATGGTGAACGAAGCAAATACCATTATTCCACCACCGTACTCCTGCAACAACAGTGTCGACGACGTGTCGGCGACGGAGTGCGAAAGAAGAGAGACAGGCGACGTCGGTTCCATCGTCTCCTTGACAAATCACAGAACAGTCTCTGACATATCAAGCCTTGGTGCTCAATCTCCTTGTTCACCGCCGAGGGCTACCAGCCCAACGATAGAAGTACGCTTGTAATTATATTTCGACGACTTAAAACCACAGCGTTAAATTTACGTGATGCTAAAACGTCTTTATATACGTATATGCGAGTTATTAATCTCACGATGTTAATTTTTTACGTTCATTATTTTCCAGTTACGGGAATTATTGGATAAGATACAGCAACTTCCTCATTTGTCTAACGGGCATTCCACCACCATGCCGTGCCAACAGAATCAAGCCCCGATTTTGTACGTAACAAGTAGCGATGGTACTACTCAACAACGGCCTTTAAGTCCCAACGATGTCGGTTCGTACAAAGTCAGGAGGACCAGGGGTAAGCTGTACATGCCATTGGGCGTGCCGACGTCGCGAAGCAAAACGAAGCGATGGCTGTCGCGCTCCGCACCAACAACGCCCTCGGGTACGACACCACGGTCCTTCTTGCCGGGACAGAGCAGGAGGCCTTCGGAGACCGACAACAATACGCAGCAGGCGGTGCCGTTGCTTTACGAGCAAGACGAGAACGAAAGCAACAATATGGATCAACCGTCATCGGGTGTTCCCGTGCTCGCTGAACAAGAGGAAGAACGACACGCGACATGACATGATGTCTAACGTGTTCGTGCCATTTAATACTCGACATCGCACGGATCTCGCGTAAGAGACGTGCCGATATCCACTACACACATAACACACACAGACCCATACACACACAGACACATATACACAGATTTAAATATTTTATAATATGACTCTGATACACACACATACACCGTCATCATGTATGCCGTATCATAAAATTATATACATTCGGGACGTCGTGTAGATATTGATGCAACATGTGAAAAAACCTAAACTTTATTTATATTTAATTAAAATAATATTGTATACACACAGGGACACACATACAAAAATAGATATTAACCAAATACCTAAATCTATGTCATTTGATTAATATCATTATATTTTGTATGTGTCCCTTTTATTTAATATCTATTTAGTTAATATGTGTGTGCACATACGTGTGTTCTATATTATTTACTTCTTAATGTTTAGCTTAATCTTTTCAGTATAGTACA